ATGAGGTTTTTATTTCAAGTTAAATGGAAAATGTAGATTGCTAGAAATGTAATAATAAATGCATTTCATTTAGTTAGATAAAAGGGAGAAAAATTAATGGATGTTAACTATTTTTGCACATTCAAATGATATGTATTTCAAAGGAAAGTTGAGTTATGGTTGGAAAATTATGGACACTTTTAGGTGAAAACAAATGTTTAGCTTAAGCCAAAAAGCATGTATTTTTATTACTTTTTTAAGTGTTTTGTAAAAAAAGTAGTATTTTTAGGAAAAAAAATTCAAAAGAAAAACTTTTCATTACAAAATGTAGAAAATTGTCCTTTTAAGCATATAGAAGGAAATAATTCTTAATATTCAAAGTCTGGGCTAGGCTGTTTGTTAATGGGTTTTGTGTTTATGCTACTACACTGTACTTCTGAAACTGTATGTCATTGTTCTTTTCAAGAAAGTACAAATTGTTAGTGTCATTCCAGACAGACATTCCTAGATCAGGCACTGCATGCTCGTAAGTTAACAGCACTACAAAGTCATCACCACCTATCCTTGTAAACAACCCTACAGCTGACCTCCTTTGTATACACTCATATGTCTGTATTGTTTTTTATCAGGGCTCAAAACAAAGGTTTACATGCTGTACTGAGACCACACAAGAAAATAGTCACAGTGGGCAACAATACACCTTTTTATGCGTGGTTTGGTACGGAAAATAGTCTAAGGGACCACCATAAGCCATTGGCCAGGTGGTCCTTATGTAGAGGTGGACACCAGTAAAAGTCTGTCTTAAAATCACTGTAAAGTGTTCAAATGTCCATGTTCATTTTACTGTTTCTGTCAATGTCTAATATTTTGTATAAGTAGCACAAATGCAACAGAAGCTTCATGGCTTATGTTTTTGAGAAATTTCATATAGCTATTGCGACAAGCAATAGCAGGGGAAAAAGCTAGCTTTGAGCCTTGATCTTTACAATTACACAAGAGCTGGTCATACATGTACAAAGGGAGGGTTGACTGTAGGCATGTTTACCAGGATAAGTTGTCACTGAAAAAACAACAGCAGCTCAACTTGTCAGGCAAACGTGGCGTGTTAAGCACATTGACGGAATGTACTGCACCTGTGCGAAACCCTTAATGTATTATGCATAGCACTTTGGAAGAATGTCTCGTATAAGGTGACCGTCGTATTCGCATATATAAGGTTAACATCCTGTCTGTAGTTGTCAGAAAAGTGTCAGAAAAGATATAGTCTGCAACAGGCAAAATTCTGATGCAACGTTGACCAAAAATCCAACAAAAACCATGAAAATTGGGGGTTTCGCGCAGGCGCAGTACTTCTGCCGACGTGCTCGTGTGTTAGTATCTCTTGTCAGGCAGGGCACAAATTTCGGCAGAATAAAAAAAGGAGAAAGGTTAATTAGCAGTGTAGACATGCGGAGAGACGCAGGGTTGCCCCTCGAGCCTTACCGCGGCGCCGGGAGCCGCACCAAGCATGGCGGCATTCACAGGAGCGGCTTCTACAGCGTACTTAGGAGGAACAAAGTTTAACTCCTTACGTTAAAATGTCTATGAAATGTCATACAAATGTAGAAGTTCTTAACAGTAATTGCCTATATGCTTATAGTTTATTTTGCAGCATTGACAGGAGCTTCCTCTAAGCGTACTTGGAACAAAGTTTAACTCCTTACGTTAAAATGTCCATGAAATGTCATACAAGTACTAAACAACCAGTAAAAAGACTTGGGTTGTTTGCTTACGAAACATAATTACTGCTTCGAGTTTTTTTGGAGTATTCACACAAGCTGTCTTAAAGTACTGTTTAAGGTTTCTTTTCATCCTTTTAGCTTTCTTATGATATAGAGAGCTGTTTACATTGTATTTCTAATAGAATATCTGAAGCTGAAACATAAACTGGGTTTAGTTCTATTGCTGACGTTTACGATTATTTCTTACATTTTCTGTCATCATATCTAACCCAGTACACATACATGTACCATACTGGTACCTGTGTACTTACAAGCCACCTGATATCACTCTAAATCAAATGTGGCATATTCTGCCTTTGGAGATACATGTAGAGAGACTGTTGTCAACACTTTCCTCACTGCATGTAGCTTTTAATAAGTTTACAGGGAAAAAACGTTGTTAGGGAACATGTCAAAACACAAGTCAAGTATCAGTTCTCATTGTTGCAAATGGCTTGATACAAACAACTGTTGCCGTCGGAATGTACAGATTAACAGCAAAATTCCTGTATGAATGGACAAAATAATTCCAGCTTGCCATACTTCATACACAACAGCTGTAGTCACATGTCTGAAGGGAACAAGTGAGTCTCTAATATAACGTTCAGGGAAAGCTAACAAGAAGCTGAATAACAGCAAAATTCCTGTGTGAATGGACAAAACAATACCAGCTGCCATATACTTCATACAAGATCAAGTATTGAAGCTGTGAATCTCTAAGTCTAACACTTGAGGGAAAACTAACTGGACAGAGATACTTACAGCAACCTGTGCCTGTACAGCCGGCGCCTCCTCTGCCACTATCATGCCCTCCTCCTCAAGCTTACGGGCAATCTCGTTGATCTCTTGTAGTCGGTTCTGGTGAGACTTAAGATCCTACGGAATAAGACGTTATTAAATATTACTCAACAGGCCCTTAATAAGGAAGGTGATAGTTTATTGACGCTATGCTTAAATACGTCGGTGAAAGTTAGACATCCAGGTAATAAGATACGCCAAAAAATGGATAATGATTTTGGAAACGGTCAGACGTTTCAGGTAGCATCCACTACCAGTGCCACTGACGAAAGGTAGTGGATGCTACCAGAAACGTCTAACGGTTCCAAAATCATATCCAGTTGCTTGAGTAAATGTTTTTTATGCTGAAATAACTCAAATTCTTGTTTAAAACTATCTTCAGCACTACAGTCAAACCTGCCAAAGTGGCCACCTCTTCAAGCCAGCCACCTCACAATGACTTTTTTCTCGGTCCCGAACTTTTTGTTCACAGTCAAAAGCATTAAGCTTCAAATAAGGCCACCTGTGTGTGCCTTGGTGGCCTTCTTGGGTAGTTTTGACTGTCATCACAAATCATTGCCAGCTTGCATTCGGAATTTTCCAGTGAGGTATACTAGATAAAGTTGTAATTCCTGTGTTTGGTAGAAAATACTAACAATATGAGTAACATGGAAAGAAAATGTACCTTGGAGAAGTTGTCAAACTTCTTCTGCAGTTCCTCCACATGTTCCAGGTCATCCCCAAGCTCCTCAGATGCTGCGATGGCCTCCTGGTGATGGGAATGGACAAACATCAGCATATACAGCTCTTACACATGTACATGTACATTGTACATGTTAAACTAAAGCAATACATGTACAATTCAAGTCAAAGTCTATTGCACAACTGGTGTAATGGTTACAGTGTAAGGCAAATCAAATCTAGTACAATGTACACATATGCAGTCAAGTAGATTCTAAGCTAAGCCTTACAATGACACAATAAACATTGTAAGGCAAAGTACAGCTAGAATTGTGTGTCCCTATATACATGTAACATATTAAGCAATAACATTGCTGCACCTTACCCCATGCAGAATTGCACATCTGAATAATCATAATTAAGCATGATATACTATATTATGATGAACATAAGTATATGTAAATTAACAGTACCTCTTTACTTTGTAAAAGCATATAATTGAATACTAAAAGCATTAACAAAGGTTTGAGATTTGAGACAAAATATGAGCTGGATCAGAAATGAAAGGGACAGTGAAAATGTGCATGTGGACTTAAAAACAATTTAACAAGGAAATTGATGAAAAATGCAGAGAACCAAATTGACCTGAAAAAAAGTGCACACATTTCCACAACCTTTCCAGTCCTTTCCTTGAAAAGCATTTTATAGTTTTGTCTCAGAAAATTGCAGCTGATGCTATTTCTTTTCCTGCAGACTGACTTACAGCATGTATGACTACATGTACAGGTAACAACAGAAATAGTTGTCATACGGCACCTTTTCTTAGCCAAATACAACTAGAAAGGTAACATTTGCAACGCAAATGCATGTTTACCTTTGCATATGGTTTGCTCTGTTAATTCTTACTCAAACACATTCACCATATATGGCAACAGCAGTCTAAATCCCTCCTACTATAAAATTGCAACATTATGTAACCCAACCCAACACCAGTTACCATGGTGAGAGTCAGTCTAGTTCAGGTCATTGACCGGGTCAATGTTTGGAACGGAAGAAGAAGAAACAGAGCAAAAACAAAATGTTTTCCTTTGGTAAACATAATAACAAGGGGTATGAATAATTCTGTTGTTAACTGTACATGGTGTAGCAACATGAGAGGGCTGTGATGGCCTAGTCTAGGATGCGGTGCTGCAATAATCGATGAAAAAGAAAGGGGGCGCTTACAGCTTGTGTTTGCTGCATCAATCAGTGTTCACAGGATAAACAGGATATGAGAAAGAAAGATTAATAAATAGTACGGGTAAATAGGAAAATTGTGATCAACTAAATCAAATCCAGAAGAAGTTAGACAGTTAATTACAAATCAAAGGTAAATTAAAAAATCATTCTTCATTCCATAAGTCAAGAAGAAAGTACAAACAAGGTTTATCTTTGAAAATGATCAACTGTTAAAGAATTGACAGAAAAATAAACATAATCACATCATAAATTATCATCAAATTGAGGAAGAAGGAAAATGTTTGAAGAATTATTTCAAACTAGTGATAAACCAAATCATTACCAGAGGAAGTTAGACAGTTAAATAAAAGATGTTACAAATTAAAGATAAAGTTTAAAAAATCACTCTTCATTCCATACACATTCAAGTAGAAAGTAAACTAAAACTAAAGATTTAATTTTAAATACAAAAGAATCAACCGAGAAGTAAATGTGTCATCAGTAAAGGACAGAAAGAAATGTTCGAAGAAGTGTTAGGTACGGTTTAGTGTCCTCAAAATATGACATTGTGCTTATATTTTAATCTATTATAAGTTAGATCTAAAGTTTACAGGTAAAAAGAAAAAAACTGTTACCTTTTCGTTAATCCAGTTTTGCAGTTCGTTGGCCTCACGGATGAGCATGAACTTCTTGCAGGACTTCTCCAGGTTGGACTTGCGGTCGTTGGCCAAAGACTGCAGAGTGTCGTACCTTACACACAGAAAAGATTTTAGACTTTAACAACAAGGCAATCAGAGATGGCAGACTTCAGCCCCTTACCCATAACACTTTGCAACCTTCCTATTCCCATAGATATAATATTGTATGTGATTGGCAATACCGCATTCACTGCACTCACTACGAAGCAAGTAATTTCTGTAAAACTGCAAACAGTGGATCATAGGTTGCAGAAAGGTTGTGGCGCCCCGCCACCCCCCTCCAGTCTTTATTGACATATGGTCCATTGCTCAACGATTCACGTGTGTCATCTGCATAACATGACGTTACAGAAGCAGTGGATTGCTCATTCCTTGACAAAGAGTACAGTTGTACAGTCACAAATTTGGGTAAGTCCAATTTTTTGTATTGGAAATTACAGTTTACACTTGCTTCATAATGACTTCTACCAAGACAGATGAACTTTCAAGATGTTTTAAGTTAAAACTTTAGATCCAACAGTCACTATGGTCTTCCTCAGTAGACTGACCCAGTGAGGCTTGTCACGTGGCTTCTTTGAAGTGTGATGTAAACTTATGTGTTTGTTGTGTTGTGTTTGATCTAAAGTTTTAACTTAAAACAATAACTACCAACACAGATGAACTTTAATGCTAAGTTTACTCACTGTTTCTCAATCTGTTCCTGCCTGGCTGCCACACTGTTCACAGCCTGTCCTGAGACGTTCTCTCGTGACGCCGACTGAGCGGCATCGATCTTCTTCACGTACGCGGCGGGCACGAAACCCTGGCGATCATTCACTTCTACCTTCCACCAATCCTGGGGGAGAAATCAGCGATATTAGATACAAACCATGGACTGGGGTATTAAGTCATAGATTATAGTATCACTGTAGGGGTTTCAATAAGTACAGATATACCTTACCGGTACAGAAATAATATAGATACAGGTTCAAAATACCTGAATGGCAGTGGACCTGAAGACATGTATCATGAAAATGTAATTAAATTTACCCACAACCAATGCCCTAGCAGCCCTTCTGAATTTTAATACACCACCAAAAACCCTGGCTCACACTTTGGACCAGCTTATTACAAGTGGAAGAAAATTTGTTGCTTGCCAATTGTGTTTCATGCATTACCTGCAGCTGTGTTCAATCATAGTGCTACCTTTATCTACCCTTAAATTGGGAGCTAATATTTCATTCCTTACAATTCCAACAAAAACAAAAACATCTTGTACACATATTATCACAATCTTTTGCCCAAATGTTGCCAGCAATTTCTTATCAAGACCTTGGCTTCCTCCTTCAAAAGGATACCAAACCTGCAGTGACTGTGCACTCGACCATACCTTACTCCAGCCAGCATGTAAACCCATCTGTGGCCACCGCAGCGGACAAAACACAACATAAAACAGACACTTGCCTCATTCCCGTCGCTACTTGCCTTGTTCGCACTGTTCAACAACACCAACACGTCTCCTTTCTTCATAGACACCTCACGCGGTGACTTCTCCTGGTAGTCGTACAGAGCGACTACACACTGCCGGCCTGTGTCATCCTCTACGGGCGCTTCTTGTTGCTTTGGAACGAAAAAGAAAACGTCTATGTTAGCTAATAAAAGGTAAAGGTAGTCTCGTAGCCTTTTTGAGGACACAAGAATGGCAAGGGAATGAGAAGTCGTACAGAGCGACTACGCACTGCCGGCCTGTGTCGTCCTCTACGGGCGCTTCTTGTTGCTTTGGAATGGTGAAAGAAAATGTTCACATCAGCTAAAGCATTGCAAAAGATACTGATTTAACTTCTCTTTGCTTCATAGTTATAATGTATGGCTGTACAAATAAAGGAGCATTGTCCCTTTATTTCTACAGGCATACAGTTGTAACTAAAAGCAAAGAGAAGTCCAATCTATTCATTACATGTAGCTATTAAATGTACTTTTTTCTATCAATGTTGTACATGTTTTGTTGTGACCTGTACCTAGCCCATTGTGGAAAAAGTGCAATAAAAGTCTTCAATCAGTTAAGTCTGCCCTTCCATCAACTATCAAAGGTTCTTACTACTGAGTGAGTGTGTATTCTGTTCCTAGTGCCATTTCAAACACTGTCAGCTCCCAGTAAGTACTGTACAGTAGAACATTGACTCTGCCTGTCCTTACCTTGCAGGCCTTAGCCTGTTCCCGAAGTGCCTCGATGCTGGTTCCGTAAGCATCCAGGTCTGACACGATGGCCTCATGTTTCTTTAAGAGGGCCTGACAGAGGGAGAAACAAAGATTCATTTATTAAGTATAGACATACAGTAGTTGGAGAACGGAACAAAATATTATCACAAACACTACCAGGTTTTTCTTCAGTGTTAGATCCTGCAAACAAGGCTTAAAAAATACTCTTCTTCAGTAAGAAAAATGGGGACAAACAGCAAGTTTCTTTCTGCAGTCTCAACATTTCTGAAATCTCTAGGTTGTAAGTTTTGACTTTATTGAGATTGCACCCCAAGACAATACAAGTTGGGTACTAGGCAGCTGCTGTCTGATAACATGAATTTGTAGGTGAGTCTTTTAATTCCCGAATAAGCTTAGCAGTTGATGAAAAGGCATAATACAAAGAAATAATTCTCCTCACAAGATTAGGAAGTACATACCTCAGCTGAGTCCTCGTCCTTTCCATAGTCAATACTTCCAATAATCGGCTCCTTTTCCTTCATCCACGACTCGGCCTCGTTGGCATCAGCAAAGTACTGCTGAGCCTGGAGAGAGTCATCCAGGTCCTGCTTCCTCTGGGCTGCCTTGTCCTGGACAACAGGGAAGAAGAAATCAGAGATTGCAGACTTCTGGGATTGTATTGTATTGTCTTGCAACTGTAACTGTACATGTGTATGCAACTGTATGATCAGAGGGAAATACATGGATTGCATCATCAGTCATTCTTGTACTCTGAACCTGAAACTTAGGTTTTATAAGTAAAGTTCTCCTTTAATGTTAAATGTAAAAATCTATCAAGACTGCTGGCAAACCTTGAGTCCTTGCCACTTGTCCTCCAGTCTTGAGCAGATTCTATTGACCATTCATCAATCCATTAACAACTCAACACCTTGATCCTTGTACTCTGAACATGACACTTCAGCTTTGCAAGTAAACTTCTCCTTTTATGTTAAACTATCCACACTACTGACAAACCTTTAGTCCTTGCCACTTCAACACTAAGTAATCTTGACAAACCTTGAGTTCTTGCCACTTGTCCTTACAAACTTAAGAAGATAACTATGTTTCTTGTACTCTGAACCTTACACTCAAGTTTAACAAGACCAAGGTAAAGTTCTCCTTTTTTGTTAAACTATCCACACTACTGACAAACCTTGAGTCCTTGCCACTTGTCCTCGAGTCCTGACACTTTAGAGTTGATGTCGTCTGCGGCAAAGTGTTCCTCCTGGATCATGTCCTGTCCGGTTTGGCAGACCGCTTTGATGCGGTTCTCGTGCCCGGCAATCTCCGCCTGAAGGGCCTGGTGCTTCTTCAGGAGGTTCTGTACTCCTATCAGATCTCGCCCTTTGTTCAAGAAAACAAGAAAAATATGTAAAACAAGACATCTGATCATTAGTTTCAAAATTTAGTAGAAAAAACAATTAATATATATCTACTGACTGTAAATGCAGAGGAGGAAAAGGCTATGGCAACCTCCAACCTTCTGAATACTTTCCAAATACCAGTAACTTTCAATGTTGAAAATGGTTACCATAAGAAGCATGTTCTTAAGAAGCAATGGACCTTACTGTGGATTTGTTTTCATCAAAAAGAAAAATGAGAGCTATACTTTAGGTGGTACAGGGAATTTACAGACTGAGACACAATCCACATTCAGCATTCTGGAAACAGTAGTCCTGCTGTTCTTACATTTGCTAGAGATCCCATGAAATCTGTTAACAGTTCAAGTAACTAGAGAGATATCAACAGTTGGAGACATAAAGTAAGCATGCTAGATAGACTCTGAGAAAATTTTTGCCAAAGCCAGAGTCATAGAGCCTATGAGTGAGAAACCGTTCATACCAGCCACAGCAACCTCGTCTAAGGAAGCAGATGTCAGTGGAGGTGAGAAAAGAGAAAAGGAGTGAAAAACAAGACAAGGCAGAGCAGTGATGTTACCGTACCTGGGAGAGATTGAGCAGACAAGCAAGGGCATTTTAAGGTAGTGCCTTCAACTATACAAATATCATGCAAGTTCAAGTAGCATTTCTTCCTTCATGATCTTGCAAATTAGAAATACATTGGTTCAAAGTTAAAGCAGCGTGCTGTCACTTCTAGAAGTGTCATGATTGTAAGGCTGACAATGACTGAAATTAGCACAAACGTCTAGCTATAGCACATCACACAGTATTACTTTGTTGTACCATCATTTCAGGCTGTTACTTCTGAGATTAGTGTGACATACAAAATTTAAGCATTGAGAATGCTGCATATACCAGACATACTCTCAGTCATCAGTGAATAATTAGTTAAATTATTATTTACCTCATTCTTAGTTTATTGAACAACACAAAAACCGTCATGAAATTTTTCTGTCAAAAACTCGACGTATATTATTTTGACTATATAAGAAGCTTGTCCTGGCTGTAAGTGTTTCTTAAGGAAGATGGGATCATATTAAGACCCCACCTCTGTTTGTAGAGGACGCCACCGGCTCCTTCTCCCTGATCCAGGCCTCCTCATCCTCAATATCCCGAACCAGCTGCTGCAGTCTCAGGGAGTCTGCAAGCTTCGCCTTACGAGCTGCCAGGGGCTCCTGGGGAACAAATAAGCCATAGGTTTATAGTATGTATTACTAAGTAACATGTCTCTGAAGAAGGACTAGCCCTTTGCAATAGCCACAGGCCAGTTGGGCAGCTCTCGCTGTGTGTGCTGAACAGCCATACCAATAAAAATGTATCATCTTTCCAGGATGTTGTCCACTCCAAGGGAAACCTCTGCATTCCTCTGTCCTGTGCATTCCTCTGTCTTGTGTGGCATACATGTGAGTGTCGGACAAGACCTTCTCTCCTCCTTGTGCTTGTCATCTTGATATTTTTCATTGCTGTGGTGTCCAATCCATCTGTTAAATTAATCATCATACAACATACCACCTTGTCATAGATTATTGTTTCCCTTTTATTTTTAAATCCTTGTTGGTATGCAGCGATTTCAGGAGTTGCTACAACAAAGAATGTTACAGCGAAGGGCACTGGTGCTTACTGAATGAGACAATTATGGATGTCACACGTTTTCAAATCCTATTGTATGTAATTTCTAGAAGAAAAAGCACATTTTCTCTGACCTGCAGTGCATCGTATCTCTCCTGTAGAGCCTCCTGTTTGGCCTTGATGTTGTCTGCGTCGAAGTGACCCTCGTCCACAAACTGCTTAGCCTGGATGGCAATCCCATCCATACGCTCCTGGAGTGGGGAGATATGAGGTATTGATGAGGCACAGAAAGAGTAGGAAAGATCCAATGGCAAAGAAGTTCAAAATAACATTGTCAAGAAGTTCTAAATAACCCTAAACATCAAGCTCAAATTGGCAAGTTAAACATCTACAGAAAGACTTGACATTCCATAAAAAATTCTGAATTTGAAAGTCAAGTCTTGTAGCATTTTTGATCCAGGTTGATGATCATGAGCACGAATGTAATTCAAAGACTGCCAATTCTTAGTCTTCTAACTGCTGAGAAGGAAGAAAAATATCTAAAAATCTATGGGTAAAACCTTGTGCTAATTGGTCGGTGTCGAAAATCCTCTTCTCAAGAACAGAAAATTTATTCAATAATCCCCTACAGTAACTGTACAGTCTGTTGCAGAGTAGATTAACTGCCAGAATTGTTAACTGTACAGTTTCCCATACTTTGTATCATAAACCACTGATGACTAACAGAGCAATATCATAAAGCACAATATTATAAATCTTATATACCTGATGAGCAGCCACATCAGCCTCCAGTAGAGCATGCTTCTTCTGCAGGTTCTGTACACTGGGCAGATCCTTCCCAAGATCCTCGGAGGCCAGGTGACCCTCGACCTCCGTGAGCCACAGCTCCACGTCCTCGCAGCCGCGGTTAAACTGCTGCTGCTGCTGGGCTTCTCGCAGCTTCTTGTCTGTAAAGAAAAAATTGTTTATTAATTTATCTACAAAATGTACTTCTTCATTGTATTGCTAATTGTTTAAGACCCTCAAAAGCTTATCTATGTTGGTAGAATCCATAGTTGAAAAGGTCCTGGAGGCTGAAAATTCATGGTTTCCTTTTTCTACAACTGTGTGTGACCTCGCAGCCGCAGTTAAACTGCTGCTGCTGCTGAGCTTCACGCAGCTTCTTGTCTAAAGAAGGACAGTCAAAGATTAAGAACATTTGTACTTAACATGTACAACACAAAGGGGTGGCTGTGTGATAGTTAACACACTAGTTGCCGTCTAATTCTGTTAAGTTAGGAGTTGAAAGGGTTGTAGCCTAAAGAGCCTGTAACATGGACTACCTTCCCAATGATCTTAATATCTTTGTCAGTGATGTGACCTCAAAGACAAGAGTTATGAGATTTGAACTCTGCCTGGCATGTTACAGTGACTACATGTAGTGGGGATTGCATGTTGTAATCAGCTGTGGTTAAACTGCTGCTGCTGCTGGGCTTCACGCAGCTTCTTGTCTAAAGAAGGGCACACAAAGATTATAAAGATTTGTACAAGGTGGCTAGTCAGAATTCTATTTGCCATGTAGGCCAAATTCTGTGAACCTAGGGGTTGGAAGAGCCTAAAAAGGCTAAGGCCCTTATAATATATAATATAAAGGGCCTGCAGCCAGCTTGAACTACATTTTGTACCTTTATCAGTGAAGACAAGCCAAGAAGAAGAGATATTGGAGATTTTAACTCTGTGACTGGCATATTACAGTAACAAGTATGGATCACATCTTGTAATTTGATTAAGACATTAAGCTGGAGGTTCTGTGTCTGGGAAAACCTCAAGTTAGAAGAATCTAACTGAAGCATCAGGCCAATGGATAAGAGCAAGAATTTGACCTGGACCAGGTGTACTATATTGAAAAACACATTCATACAATAAACCGTTAGGCAAAAGGTAAGGAAACGTATTGCTCTATGAGAGACCTAACCACCTAGCCTGATAGGAGTAGAAGAATTTTCTACCTTTATTCTCAGAGGCCAGTTTGAGCTGGTCCCAGAGAGCAGCGATCTCCTCCAGCTGTGCCTCGATGTTGTCCCTGCTGTAGTGGTCAGCGTCGATCAGGTCTCGCCCCTGCTGGTTCACGGCGTCCACGCGACCCTGGTTGGTCTGAAGCTCTGCCTCGAACGCCTGGTGCTTCTGGATCTTACCCTGCAGGTTGGTCGGGTCCTGGGAAGTATCAACAATTTGTAATCCTTGCCCTAACAGTTACGTTCTCTTTACAGATAGAATCTTTTTACTTTCAAAGCTGTTTAAAAAAATCTTCACTTGCAGGTTAGTATCTTAGATGTCAAAATATATTGTACATGAATAGGAACTGTACTGTAGTACACAAAGTTGTGTCCTTCTACCTGATGGCAACTACATGTAAACAAATCTTAAACTGAAAGGCTATTTCAGCAGAGAAAATGCTATCCCACTAAATCAGAATCTTGTAATGATGATCATCATGTTTATGTTGCTGAAGGTTAGATATCCAAGTAACACAGGAAAACAGTTACTTTGTCCATAATGGTTGATGAGGCCTTTGACATCAGTTTTCTTTAAGAGTCCAGGAGTGACTGATTAGTTCTATCCTGGCACAGATGAACTGTCTAGTAAAAGCTGCTTAGTACCTTGTAAGATTCGTCAGTTGCAGTCTTGAGTTTCTCGTTGATCCAGGCCTTGACCTCGTCAGCATCACGCTGGAACTGCTGCAGGCGGTAGGAGTCCTCCAGGACTGTGTGACGGGCCTGGGACTTCTTCAGTAACTCTTCACGTCGGGTCAGCAGCTAGGAAGGAACCATGATAATGACTATGATACATTCTGTACCATTAAAGGCACCCATAGTGATTTCGGGGCAGTAAACTCACTCACTCACTCACTAGGTTGAGTTTCCCTCGGCTCCAATTAAACTGGAGTCAATTTTCTGGTCATTTTTTAATGTTTAATAGTAAGTAACCTATCCCATACCATACTGATATCTGAGGCAAAAATAAGATGTCACTAATGAAAAATGGTTCCTTGTTTCATACCGTAGGCTGGTTATAAGCTATTTGAAGGTGGTCCCAAAAAAGGGACTCCTCTAAAGTGAAGACAAAATACTTACAGCATCCCTCTTGGCAGCCACATCATCAGAGGCGTAGTGGTTGTTCTCAATCAGCTTGTTGGCAAAGTCATTCAGGGCCTGTGGACAATGAAATAAATAACTTAATCAATATACACAGTCACATAACATTGGTCACCATCTCCAACATATACGTAAATGCTACAGATTCTGAAGTTTTTACTGAAATTCTATGGTTAAGAAAAGACCTGTTGTAACTTGCACAAATTTTGGTAGTTTTTTTATAACAAGATATCCATGTGTATCAAAGAAAATGCTGCTGATTAAATTATTGTCATTTTGCAATAGATGTACATGTATAAGCTAACAACAGTCTAAGAGGGATTAGGTCTCAATGAAAGGTTTAGGTTTGAGAAGACCTGTTGTAAGCCTTAAAGCTAGTACTAAGATTAGATAATCCATGCTTAGATTACTCACGTTAATCTTCTCCTCCTGAGCGGCCAGAGACTTCTCAAAGTCCTCCTGTTTCTTGATGAGAGCCTCCACAGAGTCCAGCGAGTCTCCCAGGTCATCATTGGCTAGGAAAGCCTGGGGAGAGGAGTGGAATACTCAGTACAAAACATATACTTAGTATATGAGGTAAGCATAATGCTCTGACAGCCTGGGCCACTGGATGAAAATGAAGATCACTACAAACACTTATAACTAGTTTGGCACCAGTCTTTTTGACAGCTACAATTGCAGATTAAGGACTGTCATTTTCCTTTTGAGAACAAGGACCCTTTTCTATAAGCACATATACAAACTGATACAAACAAACAATACTTTTTAAGACAGTTGTGTTGAAGCTTGAAGACTTAATGTTTGGCTTTGATCATTGAACGATTCTAAGGAAACAATTACTGCCCGTTGACGTTTAAAATCCAACAGAAATGTTATGCCAGTAACCTCCTGTTTGTATAAGAATTCTAAGGACATCTTTACCTCCTGTTTGCCCATCCATGCCTCTGCTTGTTCCACATCCCTGTAGAACAGCTGCAGGTCCAGACACTGTTCGTACTGCACGTGGCGCTCGTCCCACAGCTCCAGTAGGGACGTCTTCTCATTCGCCAGCGCAACAAGCTGGGAAACAGACAACAAAATACTTCATTGATTTATCTTTTTTTTTTAAATAAAAGATGCTGAGTGTACTATTTTCAAAACCTCAATTAGGAAACCAAAATTAGGTACAAAACATTGTAAAAATGCCTTACGTTTGCAATCTATTGTAAGAGTGTGACTGGGCCCTTGGGTTACGGATACAAGACTGTAGTAGGCATCCTTCCATTTAGATACAAGACTAGTCAGAGAACAACATATGACAGACTTGATTGGGCCCTAAAGCTAGTGGATACCATAATAATCTCAAAACGTCATACCTTTTCCTTGACCTCATCTGAAGCGAAGTGGTTCTCCTCCAGGAGACCCTGCCCTGCCTCAGCCGTGGTGCGGAAACTGTCCTCACGGGCATCAATCTCTCCCTACAGCAAAACAGCAGGAAAAACTTTATCAAAATGTGAAAATAAATGAAAAAAAAAACTGTACTATTTGTTTGAGCATTCCTTGCTGTTTACTGAATTGGAACTCTCCTTGGTATTGAACGGGAAATTATGTGAATGATTGGCTTCAATATCTATACAAGTTTGTACAACAATTCCTGAGCAAAATACCACGAAAACTTTTTAGAGGCAGTAGATACAATAAACTATGATTGTGTTTGTTCATTAATATCAAATGTTTTGGATCTGTCCCTGGTGCTGAACACGAAATCATATAAAGGACTGATGTCTGTATCTATGTGGGGACTATCATAATGAGTTGTCCTCACAAGTATCAATCTTTCCATATAGCAAAAGATCAGGAAAACCTACTTAGATGCAGCAAATACAGTAAACCATGTGTTTATTAGTGTGAATTGTTCTGGATCTGTCCTTGGTGCTGAACATGAAGTCATGTCAATGACTGGTTTCTGAACAAGCTTTAGAGACTGTCAAGACGTTCTTGTATTGCCACCAGCAGCTACTTTTTGCAACATCTAAACTATTATGACTGTTACAGTACCAATACCTGTATCTGTACGGCCGGTATAACCCTGCAATCACTTGTAATAGATAAACATTCACATAAACACAATACCCTACCTTGTGTTCCTGGTGCTTGTCCAGCAGAGCCTCTGCCCCGGGGACGTCCTTGGCCAGCTCATCAGCGGAGATGAGGGCGCGCATCTCGTTACACCACGACACCAGGTCACGGTGGTCCGCTAGGAACCGCTGCAGCCGGTACGAGTCGTTCAGACGCGACTTACGCTCCTCACCCTGGGGAACAAGACAGAAAAACACAATGTTTGATCAACTGCTGAAGTCTCATGTGAATAAGGTCACGTGTCTGTAACCGTAACCTTTAGCGATATTACGTTTTGAAGTGATTGGTCATTAACTGTCCTGATGAAGGCGACAGTGGTCGCTGAAACTTTGATCTCTGTATAATCCTTGTGTTGGAATAAAGTTCAACATTTTACTACGATTACTACCAACACAGATAGACTTTCATGAAAAACACAACCTGGTTAAAACATTCAGGACAAGTCTCATTTTGCTGACAGTGCAACACTCTAAAAAAGGATTTTGACAAGCACAATAAACAGTGGATCACAGCTTAACGTCCCATCCTAGAGACTGCAACCTTTCCAGTAGCATGCATGTCGGGTGAGCGACAACAGCCAGGATTCGAACTCCCAACCTCTTGGTCCATAGGCAGGGCTACTTTTCCCCCCGTACACTTTGGCTGTAACACAAAGTTAGGAGAGAATAACAAAGCCTACCTTGGTCTTAATCCTGTCCCAGGCCTCCAGGACTTCATCCTTCTTGGTCCCGATGTCGTCTGCACTCTCCGGGTGGGCGGACTGCAGGCGGTCTGCCTCTGCACTTAGCGTGGTAACCTACAGGAGGAGCCGATGCACTGTCAGTACACACTACAGATTAGGGATAAGGTTTTCCCACTTGTGTGAAGGGTACAGGCAAGGTTTGGGATTTTGGCCTAATGTCAGCAGTTTCAATGTCTACTTTTAGGTATAATGCTTGGGGCAGTTTTTTTGCTATATTTGAGAAAAGCTTTAGTGATATGATGGGCAATTTCACTGGAATCATTTCTCAAGTATAGCAGAAAAACAGCCTCAAAACACTGTGACATAACCTAGAACTGATTTTTTGTGTCCTAAATGTATGTTCAGCACACCTATTTTTCACTTCTTCATTTCAAAATGAGTACTATTAAATAATGATCATTATTCATAAATGCCAAAAGACTTAATTCTTATAATAGCAAATGTATGTACATAAAGCCAAATCCCTTTCAAGCCTGGGCCCTTCATTTTTTCCTGGTTACCAGACCTATTATAGCTCCTGCTGAGTCCTACATCCTCTCCGCAAATATTTGTGGAGAGGATGTAGGACTCGGGAGCTATATTACATGTACAGCATGTACAAATGTAGGTGTGGTAACCAAGCTAGACTTCATTCTGCAATGATTGATACAGGAACTTATTGAGTATCCTACAATGTACATGACCCAGAGATGCACATACAATGTACATGTACATGAAGAATGACATACAATGTACAAGAGCAGACCATACAGTACAGGCCACATGCTGAAACACAATGCACATTGTACCACATCCAGCTGGTACTATAACACCACATTCAGCACACACCAGCAAAATGCACAGGGACTACAGAGGGAACCTCACATTGGTGACCTGATCTATAAAACTGTATTGGACTTGAGAATTCACACATCTCAAAGTACGGAATCATCCTGACTGATTCCAAGATATATACACATGTAGAATGACTGTTTGGTTGGATTTGTACCATGATTTTGTGGTGAAATACAAATGTCACTGAAATGACTTTCCTCTTGGCAAGAAAGCAATTTTATATACATTTTTTTTTAAGAAATTGACATTGAAAACTTACTGGAATTTCCAGCAAAGAATCTGTCTACTCACATACAATTTGGCAGTTTTATATAACAAGATATACATCATGTGTATCATAGAAAAAGTCCTGATTTCAATGCTGCGAATTAAATTACCGGTATTGCAATTTTGCAATAGATAATATTATTAGATGTACATGCATCTGCTGACAACAGTATAGGAATGATCAGGTCACAATGAGAGGTTTACTTCTACACAGCAGTAACAACAGATCATGCTCAGGACTCACAGGAGCTGGGGCAACCTGGGGGAAACATAACAACTCACCACAAACAAAATATAACCATGTAATTATGTACAAAGGTAACAAAAACATCTTATTACCAGACTTAAAAAAAAATCTAGAAAACAAGTGGAAGTCAGTAATTTGTGACATTATGACAGAAAATGTTGAAAAGAGTAGTTTGAAGAAAAGGGCAGGTTTGAGCAAAAGAAGACGGGCAAGCAACCACAGGTTGTTTCACAGACAGAGGTTCGGGCGGCTGCTGGAAACATAAGGGCATGTGATGAGGGACAATGGGAGATTTGTGCCCTAAAACATTGCCTTTCTTCCTGCAAAAACATTTCTAGGATTATCATTTCAGTGCTTGACACCAAGAGCTCAAAAACAGGGCACCATGACCATATTGTCTCACAAGTGTGGTCTGTTTCAAAGATTCAGACAGTCCTAAAATAATTTGCCCATAAAAAAACAAAGATGTTGATAGATATGCAGGTCTGCAACTCTACCAAGAATCCCTACACACAATGCCAAAAAACCTGAGCCAGGTCTTTATGGTAAAAGCAACTGGGCCTGATTTGATATAGTTCCTGTAACTGCAACTGATATGTAACTGCCTTCCAAACATGAAAAATCATTAATCCATCATTACAGCACAGTTGGGAGGGTGGTAGTACATTTTGGGGTCTGGGTCTCTAAAACCAACCATTGGAAAGGATCAGAAGCTGTCCAAATACATGCAGGAATGCCCTTTCTGCTCAAAACCAGAGCTCAGAGTGAGAACAGAAAATAGACATAACAAAACAGAGAAGACAAAGAGTGAAATATGTTAACTGCAGAGCAGAGGAATGATAGGGAGCTCCAGAGGTAAGAAAAGAATATTTTGTTGCATATCTTACTTTAGTAAAGCTTTACATTATCACATGATACTGAATACTCACTGACAGTTTTTTGGCCTTGAGTTTTAGCACATTTAAAATTACTGCCTGCAGTATCATATTTCAAATCATAAAACAGAAAAATCCCTTGATGATACATTACAAATCATAGTTATGAAGGCCAGTGAAAAAGTTAGTTATGGTCTAGTGTTCTTAAAACCTTAAAGTTAAGTACAAAATGTAAAAGCAACACAAAGACTGGATAAAATTAACTTAATAAAGATATAATACAGCCTAATAAGTCAAATCAAATCAGGTATGATTTACATTTCATGCATTCCAGCCCAGTGCAGTGAACAAGCATGCTGTCATAGCTGTGAGTCCAACCAAAGTTACCATATTCATCACACTGATTTAAAGTTGCAATGTTCGCTTCAGCAAAATTCAACTGTTTCGTTGACTAATAGAATTCCTATCAAAAGTAGAATCCAGCAATTTTACTACAAATGTAACTCTGAGTCTGAAGAATTGGCTGTTCTTTAAATTTTGTTAGCAGGAGGCCCAGCCAATTCTAATTTTCCATTAATACCACAGTAACAAAAGTACAGTTTTTACAAGTCACAATTAGCAAAAAGGAATTCAGTTAGATTTGAAGCCTTTCAAAATACAATGCCATAACCCTTATGTTTTTGTATACTTTGTCAAAGCAGTAGAGTTTACAGGAAAACACAGAATTTACAGTACAGATTACATGAACAGAGTATACAATTTACAGGTCTTGAAAAAATTGATACCCTAGCATTTTTGTTTACATTCAATTTTCTGAAAAAAACCTACATAAGTAGTAACAAAAACATGTTGAATTTTGCTGAAGGAAACATGGTCCTTTAACAGAGAGGTTTATAACCACACTAAGTGAGCAATCGAGCGAGTTTGCCATGCTTCAGGAGGTGTTACAGAAATGAAGAGCGGTACAAGACTCAGTACCCTAGCTGTCCCCTGCTGCAATACCAGACTCATCTGGGCACAAGAGAGGGAGAAATGAGAGGGTGATTCTGATCCAGCATGTACGTGGTGCCAACAGCAGTGTACAAAATACTTTTTTGAACCAGGTTGCCCAGTGGGCAACCTACGGCAAAAATTAGGTTGCCCATCAGAATTTTAGGTTGCCCCACCTATGAGTTACTACTTTCCTCAAATTAAGTAATGTTACGTTATGTGTATAACATTACTTTGCCTTTGACAATATTTCTAACAGCCTTTAGTTAACTGATACTAGTAATAGCCATCAATACCTAAAATTAAAAGGCATCTACCAGATACAGTGGTACAAGCCAAGTGGGCATGATTTTTTCTTGGGGGGGGGGGGGCATTCTTAAAATTCAGGTAGCACACTGGGCTACCTACGTTCAAAAATAGGTTGCCCCAAGTAAAATTTGGTAGCCTGGGACAACTGGGCAACCAGGTATTTTGCACGCTGCAACAGAGAAACAAACAAAATCCAACCTCACTTGCACTTTGTAAGTCTTCCTTATTTTATTACAAAGTTCAAGTGAAGATATTTTGTTCCACACTGAAAGCTGGAACTTAAGATTGCTGAATGCACGTAGTGTGAATTTTTTTTGTATTTCCAATATTCTGATATTGTATTAATCAAATAATAAATGTAAAAACAATTTGAAAGAAAACACTTGTGGGTACGTGACTTAAGTGATGTAAGCTTGTAGTAAGTTATTGGCACTGCTTGTCCAAGAAATTGAATTATTCCAAGTTCAAACACAATTTCATCAAATGATCCAAATTTTGTATCACATAATTTTCATAAAAGTTATAGGATGTATGTGGAACATTATATGTGTATCAGGTGTGGGGACAATACACAAACACTTGAAAAAATAAGAGTTGTCTTTCTGCAACATGTTCAGCACTCATTCAACAATCTTGAAGGACCCTAATTGCTTGTAGATGTAGGTTGGAAGGACGAGGTTTACTTTTTGGAGATGCAGGTGAAACATGGAGGAAGTTATACAAGCACACCAGCTTCACACCATACACTTAAAATGTAATAAAATGCCATGAAGAGAAAAATGAAAATTTTCTTTTATTTCAAGGTTTTGGAAAAAACTAAAAATCAGTTCAGATCTTGACAAATTTCAAGTTCTCCCTGAAATATCACATCTGGTTTTTTAGGTTTGAAAAGCAACAATTTGAGATTGCATTTTGTCTGTATGGTGTGAAAACTTAAGGATTTGGTCAGGATTCAGTTTTTGTTTACCACTTTGTGGGCTTCAAAGAGTGCCAAGTGGAAGCTGAAATAAAGCAAGTTACCAGCAATAAAATTAACCCCAATACTTTAATGTCACATAAATGATTTAGTGCTACATTTGTACTTCTTAATTTTAGACCAACCCAAGCATGCCTAAGTTTAAAACATTAAAGTTTAGAAACACAATTACAGTCTTATGCTCTTAGACACAAACACTGCACCTTACACAATACGATCAGTTACCATTAATCAAAGATGAATCTTTATGGCTAATATCCCATTCAAATTCAAACATCCTACAAAAATTGTGTTACTTTTACTGTTGGAATTAAGTAAGAGATAAAGAAAGTACTCCCTGAATTTCCCTGGTTACTGGTACACTGAAATCAACCCTTAACTTATTAAAAGGGACTATACCATCTCGATTTGCGCAGTTAAAGTCATTAGCCGTAAGACTGACTTACTGAGAGAGAGAGATCTATCAAACTGATGTCATGCAAAAAACAGAGCGACGCCATGCGTACCTTGTCCTCGAGAGCGGCGAGGTCCCTCTCCACGCCCTCGTGTTTACGCTGTAGAGCCTGCACCTCTGGCAGGTCCTTCCCAATGTCCTCAGACGACAGCGTGCTGTCCTTCTCATTGATCCAGGAGATCGTCTCGTCAGCATCCCTGGGGAGAGAATGAATGTGTTATCTTGAAGTGGGACAACAGCACATACTCCAGCCCACACACACACAAGTAGACTAAGGCCACACTGACTTAATATTATGGATGACATTCGCGCGTGCATTGATTTTCACCTGTTTTCAAAAAACTACACCTCCAAGGCTCTGGCCTGGGTTCCATCCTCCATAGTCCATATGGTAGCTAGAGACAACATGGAGTCAGAGGTAACTACTGTATACGGAGGATGGCAACTAGACTGCCGAAGCTCCACAGAACTCCAGAACTCAGTACAGTGCCAACTCATAAATGCCATGAAAAGGTTTGACCTCAATGAAAAGCGTGGCGGGCCAATTTGAGTTCGTCATGAATAAACAATCAAACAGCTCACTACTATACGGCCTTTCACTCACTCACAAGAACACAAACAAGCACTAAAAACTTACATTTCCTCCATAAAACAACAGAGTAAAAGACTAAAAGAAAAAGCACAGAGTCCCATGCAGCCCACCTGTTGAACCTCTGTATCTCTGCTGCTCCAAACAGTTTCTCCTGCCGCTCCATGGACAGCTGCTTCAGGCGCTGCCAGGCCGCATTCACCTCCTGTTACGGAACAAAAGTCAGAGCTTAACATGCGTTCACAGCAAAAAACTGTTCAATCCTTCCAACTTTTGAATGGTTGCAATAGAGAGGGATGGGTGTTAATATTTGACCGGTTTTTACTTTTTTTCCTTTAGATTAAATACAACCGCACAATAATTTCACTACAAAACAACTGGGCAGTTGACCACAAAATTCTGGGTACTACACTGAAAAGCTCAGAAGAAACAAACTAACTTTTTCTTCTTCTACAAAGTACACAAATTAAGCATGGGAACAAGACTTGGTAAACATACAGAAAAATTACCATCAAACCAATCTAAGCTAACCAGCACAATGTACACTAAATTTTGATTAAACTTCTTAACAAGTGATCCAAGTGGTAACACAATGTACCTCTTGTTTGTTCCTGATCTGCTCGACCTCTGGGTGCTCGTCGTTGACCAGCGAGTCGGCCGTGTTGTTCACATCGTTGATTTTCTCCTCATGGGCAGACAGGTCTGTCTGGAACTCCTCAAACTGTTTCTGTAGGACCTCCACATGCTCCAGGTCTCGTCCTGTCTCCACCGCGCTCGCAAACGCCTCCTTGTCCTTAATCCAGTAGTTCACCTGAAGAAAAGGCAAACAGTGGTGTGTTATAACAAAGATTTATGCCTCAAACTGTTTCTGTAGGACCTCCACATGCTCCAGGTCTCGCCCTGTCTCCACTGCGCTCGCAAATGCCTCCTTGTCTTTGATCCAGTAATTCACCTGAAGCAGACAGTAGTGTCTTAATAAATTGTTATCACTTAGTCCAGGGAGAAACCTAAAAAAACTTGCGTCGTAGCCTACCCCGTACATACTTTGGTCAGTACCACAGAATGATACCTTAACGTCCCCTGATTATTTAAGATACCTTTAAGTCATACTATGGTCCAGGTGGGACATCATGGTTCTAGGTATTATTATGCAAATTTATGCAAATTAAGAAAATGTACCATCAAGTCAAATGCCCCAAATAACTTTGAGCACAATAATTGTGAACAAAAAATAACCTGAATCTTCATCAAGGACTGGTTTACAACTGCAAATTCTTGTGTGTCAAACAAAACTCATTTCAGAAAAAGATCATAACTCCTTAATGTTATTGCTATGTTCTGTCATAACCTTGTCGAAAATCATGATGTTACAATCAAATGAAAGAAATGTTGTCTATAAGTTGCTATGTCTCCTGCAGCCTACCTCATCACACAGACGCAGGAACTGCACCAGCTTCATGGCCTGCATGAGTTTGACTCCCTTGTCTGCCAGCTTCAGCATCAGCAGGTCCCACAGCCGATGGAGCTCATCCAGGGTAGCCTGCGGAGGGAGGGAGGAATATCAGAACTTATAAATTTTAAACATGTACATGTATGTTACATGTTGTATACTATCAGTCTTGTGAGTCGATGAAGGTTAGACATCCAGGTAATACGATATGCCAAAAAGCAGTTACTCAAGCAACTGGATATGATTTTGGAAACGTCTGACCGTTTCCAAAATCATGTCCAGTTGCTTGAGTAACTGCTTTTTGGTGTATCAGTCTTGTGCTGTGATAATTCAGTAACCAAGAATGCTGACGTATTTCACTAATCAAAGTAGCAAAAGATGGTTTTAGGTGCCCACAAAGTGCCAGCAATGAACGTGTTATACTAAAATGTTCTTCTTTCTTGTACAAAATTGCTATTATGATTTTTTAAAGCATACATAACTTAAAGATAAATACAACAGTTACTGTAGGACTTGTACAAGCAATGATGGTTGTAGGTCCAAGATGGTTGGATATTTACTAATTTATCATAGTGGACAACCAAATAACATGTTCAACATCATGGCCACATTTTAACTCTGAGTAACATTCTGATAAAGTCTTGAGAACATACCTACGAAATCAAAGGTATTTTATTTTGTCTGACCAAGATGCATCTTTTGAGTGAGACAACCAAATACTATGTTCAACATCATGGCCACAACTCTTGAGAACATACATGTACATGAAGATATAAAAAGAAGTTTTGCCTGACCTGGATGTCGTTTGAGCGGAAGTGGTTCTCCGAGATCATCTCCTGGCCGGTGGTATCCAGCACCATGATGGCGTTACTGTTGGCCTGGACCTCCGCTTCGAATGCCTGGTGTTTCTGTAACTTACCCTGTAGGAACAGGCAAGGAAAACAACAAGTCAGCAAGACAATACAGCAAACTAATCCTAACCCTAACCCTAATCCAGCACCATGATGGCGTTACTGTTGGCCTGCACCTCCGCTTCGAATGCCTGGTGCTTCTGTAACTTACCCTGTAAAACCAGACAAAACATTAACACTACACCAAACACTAACCCTAGCCCTGTACCTCCGCTTCAAATGCCTGGTGCTTCTGTAACTTACCCTGCAATCGAAACAACAACTCAGCAATGCAACACAACACAACACAAACTAACCCTAACCCTAACCCTTTACCTCCACTTCAAATGCCTGGTTTTTCTGTAACTTACCCTGTTCTGCAACCTTAACCATGAAAATCAAACTAGCCCTTGGGCTTTTTTAGCCATAAAAATCAAACTAGTCCTTAGGCTTTCTAGCCATAAAAATCAACCTAATCCTCAGGTTTTTTAGCCATAAAAATCAACCTAGTCCTTGGGTTATTTTAACCATGAAAATCAAACTAGTCCTTAGCTTTTTAGCCATAAAAATCCTCAGACATTTTAGCCATAAAAATCAACCTAGTCCTTAGGCTTTTTAGCCATAAAAAATCAAACTAGTCCTAGGCTTTTTTTACCCATAAAAATCAACCTAGTCCTTGGGATTTTTTAGCCATAAAAATCAACCTAGTCCTTAGGTCTTTTTGGACATAAAAATCAAACTAGTCCTTGGTTTGAAAGCCCAACTGTACCTGTAGGTTAGTAGGGTCCTTGTAGCTCTCCTCTGCTGCAATCTGCAGTTTCTCCACGATCCACTTCTCCAGTTCATCTGCATCCCGCTTGAAGTACTGCAATTATAATCATACAGGAGGGTGAGTGTGTATAAAAGTGTATACATAACTACTGTGAATTTATGTCAGAGAAGGTTAGACATTCTGGTAATAAGATATGCCAAAGCCAGGCAACTGGATATGATTTTCCAAAATCATATCCAGTTGCTTGTTATGAGTTAAACTATTTTTGGCATACTGTGAATTTATCTACATTTGCGGATTCGTAGTGGTGAAGACAACTGTAGTAGTACATTTGCAAGACTGAACATATATCTATAAAGTAATGAATTAAGTGCAGTGACCATAAACCACCAAAATTATTTCATGATAGGGCATGAAATACCATTTGCAAAATTTTGTCTAAATTTATGGAAAGTATTGGTCGTAACTTGTTTGCAAAGTTTCATGTATTCTGAATCTGAGTTTACATTAAACTTTGCAAACAAGTTATGACCAATATTTTTCAACAGATTACTACTCAGTACCCCTACATACCAAGTATCTCCTGGAGTCGTGGAGCATTTGTCTGCGGAAGGCGACATCCTCCTTGAACTTGCCGTAGCGTCCCAGCACCTCGTCACGTCGAGCCTGGATGTCCTCGACCGTCTCGAGGACCTTGGGTCCTTGACTTTGAGTTTCGGTCATCTGAGGGGCAAAGGTCAAAGTGCTGGGTCAAACAAAGGTCAAACAAACAAAGGTCAAAGTATAAGTTACAATCTTACAGTAAACTTGGCTGAGAAGTTAAGGGTTGACAGTAGGCTTTTTACAACCCAAGGTCCTGTCATATCAGAAAAAAACTCACTTTCTGGCAGCAAACTTGACTTAATTCTCATCTTTTTCACATTAAGCACCCCAATTACTTATGTCCAATAAGATGCTGTCATTAGCAACAAAATTCACTTAAATGACAGAACATCAGATTGGAATCTGTGCGAGGATTAAGATTTACTCCAAGCCTCACATTTTATTAGCAAGAATTGCTTTAGATTTCTTATGACCAATGTGTTAGCATAATGCTTTTACTCCAAAAACCTCACAGTGATCTCCAAACTACAACATAAAAGTGCTTTCAAGTTTTGTTATGGAAGAACCTTTATTCCAATATCTCCAGCCTCCAAATATTTTTCCAGGGATTGCACTGCAATTTCCTGGGTAGCCAACCCATCAACCTGAATCAAGAGTACATGGACATGTACTTGTACTAAGCCCACCTCATGGCCAAGGCCTTTTTAACAACACAATTCTACTTTACAGGGTGCTCTACACATATCACAATAGGTGCATTTTTCACAATCTTTTCCAGACATCTGTGCAAGAAAGGACTCCACCTTCTATTACTATAATGCCCACAAATCCATTTAGCACTTGAAGTTCTCCAAATTGGGGGAAAATTGAAAACGCCCCCCAGAGTGCAGGCTTGCATAGCAGCCAGGTTTTACTTTGATTTTATGTTAGGCCACAGCAAGTAATTTTTATGGATGACATCCGCGCGCGCATTGATTTTTGCCTGTTCTACAAAAAAAAAAAAAAAAAA